TTTTTCAAACTTTAAAATTTTTTTTCCTCCTTTTTAAAATTTACTTCCGTTTATTTTGTAAAGCGTTAAAAATAATTTGCAATTATTGTTTATATATTTAATTAATCCTTTTGAAATTTCAATTTATGCTATCAGTATTTTCCTTTAATTACATGCATTATTGGAAAATTTGAATTCTCCTTCTCTCTTTTTTTTTATTTAGTACTTCGTTATGAAAATTTGCTCTGAGATATTTTAGAATTCTCGTTTTTTTCGAATTTGAAACAGAAATTTCAAACAATCGACAATTTTCAAAAATAAATTCCTTCTTTATATATCATTAAAGATTTTTCAGTTTTTTCTTCCTTTAATTCGAGAATTTTATGCTTGCATTCTTCAGGGTAAAACATATGCATCGATGGGAGCGGGTGGAATAGCAGCAAATGCTTGTCGAGGAACAATGATTGAAATGAAAAATTCGAAATTAGCCATCAATCAGAATAATGATGAAGCGGGAAAAATTTCCGAATTAGTGAGACCGAAAAATAATAATACAAAAGTATCGCGGAAAATTCCAGGTACAACATCGGTAACATCAGGAGTTGCACGAGATACGATAAAGGTATTCAAAATCGATTCATTGAAGTAAAATTAAAATGAGAAGTAGAATTTTAGTTAAGAGAAAGGATGAAAAAATGAGGAGAAAAGATATCGAACGATTTAAAAGTGACATTAATTACTGAGATATTACCTCTTTAATAATATTCCAAAAGTTGTCTAATCTTCCTGTTGTCAATAACATTTCCATTACTTATTTTCCGTTTCTCTTATTCTTTTTCCTTCCTAAATTTAAAATTCAAATAATTCTTTCTTTTTTTTTGTCCCTTCTCCATTTCTTTCAATTGAAATTTAAAAAAACTATGCTCTTATTATTAAGGTATCATACCGTACTCAATTGCATTGTGTTATTTAATTTTGGAAAAAAATCTTTTCAAAAATAAATGTCATATTATGTTAGGCTAACGGTAATCGGAACAATATTAATACTACAATTATTCACCTCTCTCTTTCCCTTTCCAAAAGGAAGTATCAAGAGAAAGGAAGAAGAGACAGTTAAGTAATAGCTATGAATCAATGCATTAATTTTTTATAAACTTCAAATAATTATTCCAAATGTTAAATTCTAAAATAATTATTAAAATCCATTGATTTATGCTTGTTACTTTTTTTATACTCTCAGCACTGAATTTTACGTATGTATTAAAAAAAATCATGACTTTCCGGTATGAAATAAAGCATCTGGCAGTAAGTGATTAGTGTTCAAATGTCCATTTGCACCGATTAGACAGCTTAAATTGACCCTTCGTGTAATTTTCAAATTACTTACAACCATCGTAATAATTCTTCGATTTTATTGCTGGAAAATTTTGCTGATCAAAATTGTGCAATTTAATTTTACTTGCTAAGTGCAGCATAACGACCCATAAAATAAGTCATTCATCCAGAAAGGCATCATGGTTGTATGACTGATAAGCATTTATCAATAAGCATGTTAGCAATATGATGATAATATCCGGAAATGCTTATTGATATCAGTTATCCAGAATTGAATTGTGCAAAATTATGTTAATATTTTTTGCTCGAATATAATTTCATATTATCAGTCAAATTTTTCTAATGCATCATTTATCGTTGCCACGACATTTTACTGCTAAAATTTTAACATTAAAATCATAATTTTAGGATTGATTTTTTACAGACAATTGAATAATAACAATCATTTTTACAAAAGAAATACATGTCTTCGTAGGCTTTTTTATTTTACAACACATTTTCTTTTTCTTTCAATAAATTTTTCCTTTTTACAAAAGTCAATATGAAATTGTATGTTCAACCAAACGTGAAGTAAATTGCATGATTTGTTAAACACGAAATATAAACATCAGATGATAAAATGATTCCTTCCGATAAAAAAAAAAAAAGAAATTTATTAAACAATTTAATCAATCAATCATTAATTATTACAAATAATCTCTTTGGATCAGCAAAATATAGAAAATTTTCAATTTTAATATGAGGAAGAAAATTTGCATGACAAAATTAAGTGCAAACAGTAATTGCAATAAATTTATTTTTAACTGGTTTTCTTTTTTTTCTTCCTTTCATCTTTTCATTTTTTCCCGATATTTGTGCATATTTTTTTATTTTTCCCTTCAATTCCTTTCACAATGCACATATATATATATTTAACAATTTTTCAAAACACGAATACCTCCTTTCACATGTTACCTTTTCTCTTTCTTTTTTTCCCTGTCCCTCTTCTGCGGTATTTTTTTCCGTTTAAATTATGATAAAACTTGAAATAATTACATGAAGCAGAATGGAATTATATTGTTATACAATTTTGAGTATTTATTACAAACATATGTACATACTATAGGTAATGAATTGTTGTGTGAAATGAATTGAGTACTAAATTATGGAATTGATTATCCTGGAATAGCATAATAACATAGAATGAAGTGATTAACTTTTCGAAAAAAATGGAAATTCAAATTTAAACTGAAAGATTTATATATTCCATATGTTATATATGTGTAAATGTGTTTGATATTAAATGATGAGAAAAGGGAGAGAAATGGGATGGAAGGTGTAAGGTGGAAGAGTGCAAGCCATAATGCTTATCTGCCCACTTTATAGACTGATCAAGGGGTGAGCTTATCAATAATTTTATTTTTAGGAATTTAAAACAACATAGTTTATGCAAATAGCCATAAATGATTTTAAGGTTTTTACATTTGTATATTTAAGTAACGATGATAGCAGAAATTGACATTGATTTTTATATTACTTTTACTGAATAATTAACGCATAATAGCTATGAGAAATGAGATTTAGGACAATTTAGATGATATTTTAAAATTTGTTAAGAATTTATTGATAGCATTTTAGATCATGTTTCTAATAACAATTGCATACTGTACGATATGGTATTCTCTTATTTTGTCCTTTTTGCTTATTCTGTTCTTTTGTTAAATTTAACTTATTTTCCATCATAACCGGATTTATGTGACATTTCATGATATCAACATATTTTTTTTTGTCCGTAGTCGGAAATTATTCCAATAAGTTTTTCAACTTTTTAACACAAATTTAGTTTTTCATTTTTCTCGTCCCTTTACATTTCATTAATTTTATTCCATATAAAATTTTCCTGTCTCTTATAATTTAGTTTCATTTCATTTTTTTTATAATATATTAGATGTTTTGCATATATTCATATGTGAATAGAAATATTAGAAATTATTTTATTAATTGCTTTTTTAATATTCGTTTAAATTTTTTCTTAGTTTAAATTCCAACTATTTAATGAGTTTTAAGTTTAAATTGGAAGATATAAAATAAATATAATCAAAGCAGATAGGAAAGATGGACGTATTATGGGATTAATAAATTTCTAAACTAATATCAATGATATTATTGTTTACAGGGTATTGGACCTCGGGCAAGTGGTTTACCACTTCAGAGTAGTTCATCATCATCTTCCTGCTCCAACACCGCTTTGCAAGGAGTGAAACGAACGCCCAATCGTGCTCCTCAATCATCTGCTGGTACCCAATTAAGACAACCAACAAATCTCGACCCCACCAAAAATAAACGGTTAAAATTCCCAAAATTCTTTGCATGTTTTTAAACATATTTATATAATAAATTTAAATTTTAAGTTAAACCATAAATATAACATATTTAAATAGGAATAAATTTCATATTATAAATATAGTACCTAAATTTTATATTACAGTGATACTGCACCGTCGTAATGATCGTAACGCTTGATAGCACTATGTTACTTATACACCACTGTATTACTCTTACCATTAATATCAAAATAGTTATAACGTATACCATTAATATCAAAATAGTTATAACCATTGCATTCTGTCAATGTATTCTCAATACCAATTATATTTATATGACAATGTATTGCGATATAATCTTTTGATGATATTATTACTTTATATGACTCCAGTAAAGTTTGATTACGTCTATGACGTAAATGTTTGTATATTTTTCGGTGACCGTTCTTTCCAAACATTGGCTATAGAACGTGAAAAGAGTGATTCTCTCAAATTATTCATCAAATTATTTCATTCAATTTAGACGGAACGAATTAAAAGGAATATAAGAAATTTCCTTTTATCATATATTTTTACATTCTCAAAGTCACAGTATTACGGTGGCATTTTCAATATGAATTAATATTTCAAGTCAAAGATTTTAAATATTATTATTATCATTATTAT